ACTCGATACAAATACGTTTTTTGACGTAGGTACAAATATTTGCCTTGCAGTCGGTAATTGAACCCGGAACCTCGTGACGGAAAGAACGGTACCGCATCGCTAAATCACATTACGTATTAAATAATGTATTATTTCTTTTGCTGCATAGTAAGAATTGTGAATATCATGCTCTATTTAATATGAACAAGTAATTCGCATACATTTTTTTATCTCAGTTATTAAAGTTTAATAATAAAGAATATAGTATAATAAGACTGTGGTATTTAAGTAACTTGTGACTAAAATACTTGTGGCATGGAATAATATATCAAATTCTTTAGTTAATTGATTAAAATTAAAAATATAGCAGACTATTTCTAGATATATTTGTCCTATTAACAATGGATTTTTCCAATTTGCATGCGTAGTTTCCTTATGACAAGTTAATGTTTAATAACATGCGTCTTGGTATTTGTAAAGACAAGACACCGCCACAACGGATGCGTGAATTTTCAGTGGTTCTCGAAATGGTCGTAATAAAACTCTCAAACATCAATGGGAAATAGAAAGAGGGATATAGGAGTTATGTTTTTTAAATAGTTCATCTTATTATTATTACAAATGCGAAAGTTTGTGAATAGATGGATGGATGGATGTTTGTTACTCTTTCACGCAAAAACTACTCTAGATACGGATCTATGGATATTGATGAAAATTTACTGTAATATACCTTATACATCCAGAATAACATATAGGCTATAAATTTGAAGCGGTTGAAACCGCAGGCATAGCTAGTTTATAAATATTAATTAACTGCATGTTTTTTATTCAACCGCTTTTTCGTAATGCAGATTTAGACGAGAATAATGAGCAAAAATCTTGGCTGCTGCTCAATCAAAAATTTTTTTGTAACTACGAACTATTAAATAGCGTAAACGAGTAAAATAGTAAATTAACAATTACTTGAGTAAGATAAAATAAATCAAACAAGTCGTCAAACGAACTAGTCTCTACAAGCAGCATCAATTCCTGAGTGTAACGGACTAAGCTCTTGTAATCATAAAAAAAATACTATTGAAATGTTTGGACATTTCCTTTCAAATGAAGGAAGTAGGACTACAGAAAAGGACAAAAAAAAAATATATAGGTACGGAAAATAATAATGAATAAATGTATTTTTATAATCTGTGGATAATTTTTCTCTCCATTCGTCCATGTTACCGGATGCCTTGTAATGTTATTGCTAACAATTCTTAATGTTAACAGTTACCATAAATTATTATTTCAAATAAGAATAGCAACTTTGTTATGTAATCACGGAAGATATTATTTAATTGGAATAATAACAATATTAAAATCCTTGGAGAATTCACACATCGCCCTCTAATCTAAGTGTTATGGATACTAGACAATTTATATAAATACTTAGATGTTTTTTTGTAAATACATACATAATATACATAGAAAACACCCAGACCGATACAAGCACTCATACTCATGAATACAAATGACGGTACCGTGCGATGAATCGAACCCGCCACCAACAAAAGTAAAGCATGCTAAAGGAACTTGACCACCGAGCCCGTAAATTTTTTTATATACTATGATGGAGGCAAACGCACATACGGCCCATTTGATGGTAAACGGTTACCGTACCCTATAGTCGCCTCAGGAGTGTCATAAATGAAATCAAACCTATGTTCCTCATTCTAAATTACGTACAATACCAATATCACGATTGGTTGATCCGTTCCGGTAATATGCAGACTCGCTTTCTCATTTATAATATTAAGCATAGTTATTTGAACACTGTGATCATAAACTTTATATGTGAGTGGTGTACACATAAAATTAATTATCACGTAAGAACGTGCTAATGAAATTCGGTATACCAAGCAATTATTTGTACGGCACATAATATGCCTGCCGGGAATAATATTAAAACAATGGAATATCATTAATATAATATGGCGGATGTTATGATGATATTTTATTTCATTTTTCATGTGACCTTTGACAATAAATAAATAACCTCTGGACAATTAACACAGCGCCATCTAGTATCAATCTAAGCAGAGCTTGTGTTATGGATACTCGACAACTGATATAAATACTTTGATTTTTTTTAAATTTTGATATATATAGAACTGATACAAACAATCATAGTCTACAATACAAATATTTGCACCGAGCGAGGATTCGTACCCGCGACCATTGGAAATAAAGCGTGCTAATTCTACTAAACCATCGAGGTCGTGTAATGGGGGTCACTAATCCTCATTGCTAACAATCCTCTCCTCTCCTTCTAGTTGCGCCGCTACATACATAAATGGTCTGTTCATATCAATATCTACTTAAGTATATATTATCTATACATATAAATAAAATTGCGAGTGTCTGTTTGTAATATTTAAATAATTGTGTTTTACTACATACATTTGAATATAAATACGATACATACACCAAAATAACATTTTTCACAATTTTTGCCTGTCTATCGGTCTGTTTGTTCCGGCTAATCTCTGAAATTGGTGGTCCGATTTTGCCGGGACTTTTTTTGGCAAGTAGCTGATGTGATAAGGAGTAACTTAGGCTACTTAAATTTTAGAAAAAATATTTTATTTTAGAAGAATAAAGTAAAATTCTTCACGGACGAACTTGCGGGAACAGCTAGTATACAATATACGAAGTACAATGAAATGTTACGGGTCAGTTACCCGCGTACCGCCTATACAAAGTTGCAAGAAAGCGCGTCCCCAGTGCATCTGCATTCTGCAGTCGCACTAACTATAACTTATATCAACTTTAGTAATTAAACTTGGAAGATTGGACATGCTTAATGCGCGGATGTGGTACGGTTATAAGTTCGATTCTCGTCAGAATGTAAAATATACCTAGCTAAAACTACATTGTAAAATATAGTTGATTACGATGAATTAAAAAAAATATTCTAGTAATTATATATACATATAGAGGTTTAAGTCTGAAAGTAATTTAGGATAAATAGTAAAATTTATTTATTTGGACGGCCTCGGTGGTGTAGCCATAGCACCGCATTACTTTCGATGTTCTCGGGATAGATTCCTCGCACGCGCATACATTTGTATTCATGATTTGATTGTTTGTCAAATCAGTCAGATCAGTCTAGATGTTTTCTCTGTATAATACGTATGTATTTACAAAAAATATTATAGTTATTTGTATCGATTGTCTAGTACCCATTACACAAGCTTTGCTTGACTTGGTACTAGATGGCGCTGTGTGAATTGTCTTCAGATGTAATTGTTATTATGAATTTGTATTTTCTAAACACATGCTAATAAAATTTTTGATTATCCTTATATTTCATCATACAAGTGTCAAATAGTAAATTGATTTATATTAATTAGTTAAATACTCGGCAGGTATGCAAATATTATCTACTATTAAATGTATATATTAAACATAACTAAATTACAAGATAAATATTGTAATGAGATAACTTTGGCTATAAAAATTAAAAATAAAATAATTATACGATAAGTTTATTTTTCATGAGTTGGTGACGTAGGTATATTTAAATATTATCGCGATATCTACAATGTTATGTAAAAATACGAAATGATTAAAATTGTTCGAAAACACCTCAGTTAGTTCTACAATATTCAATATCCTGTTATCTGATAAAAAAAATGTATATACATATATATGTTATATTTTATTTTCTATTAAGAATAGTTACGTTTTCACCGTATTCTTATATTGCAATAAAAATTAAATATAAAAATATTTCATAATAAATTGAAATATTAGAGGTATGTTACACAACAAATCCAGGTGTGCAGTATCACATATAATTTATCTGATAAAAGGGCCCATATCTATTAATATTATTACTAAAATTTTAATGTAATAATATACCTTGGTCGTATTTTTATATTTTATTTGGAATAAACATTTAGATATACATAACATACAAATTGACATATAGAATAATAAAATACAATAATTATATAAACAATCAGTCATTTATACATAAAAGTTATTTAACGTAAATATTTGTATGTTTGATATTAGCAGATTTGTAATGGCTATATTTTCAATAACGTCGTATATGGAATGTATCCAAAATCCTTTACAAATAAAATTATTATTACTATTATTAATTTTTTTGTGACAACAATAGACATAGAAATAATCTTTATTCAAATAATCAATTTTGAAAAGTTATATTTTTTATTCTACCGCTCAGTCGAAACGCAGAATCATCACTCTCAGAAGAATTATAAAGAAACTTGCGTGTAGGTATTTTAAATAAATGTTCGTCGGAATTACATTTTTAAGAATACATACTGCCTTGAGCTTGACTAAAAGTTGACATAAATATATAAATAGTTACTTGAGTAACAAAATAAATCAGTCATAATTATCAGATTAGACCACACCTAACAAGCAACAAACTTAGATTTCCTAAAATATTTTTGATTGCCGATACTTTGGGGGCATCACACTTTAGTCCTCCGAAGTGACAATGCATTAATGGTATCACCGACGTAACTTGATAACGTGTTGTCTGTGGTGCTATTCATGTAAGCAACACTAAAATGTATAAGTAACAAAATTAATATTGCAAAGTAGAAAATTAAAATATTTTTTTACGAATACAATTTTGACCAAGTTTATATGTATGCAATATTACAGACAATGAAACGTTGTTGTCAATATTTCTAATATATATTATACTAGCTACCGGCTTTGCACGGGTCTAATATTCTACATATAAACCTTCCTCTTGAATCACTGTACCTATTGTTTAAAACTACATTAAAATCCGTTGCGTAAAGAATAAAAGATCTAAGCGAACAGACAGCGAAAGCGACTTAATTTTATACTATGTAAAGATTAGAAAAGTCCAAGTGAATCAGTCATTCACAGTAATATAACATTAAAATAACCTATGAGCGAACAATAAACAAATGATAATTGTAGTATATAAGTTCCCAAAATAAGGTAAGGATCTACAATTCAAATGTACTTCCCAGATCCATATGTATCAACAATCTATGATGCGTGCGGAAGAGATACGCAGACGCCGCCGGGATGATACACCGGGCACGCACACAGCCGTCAACAACATATTGGCCGCCGCTGCAAGGGAGATGGAGGAGGCGAGGCACGCGGCGCGCGGGGGGGAGAGGGTAGTCGCCAGCATCCAAACCGAGCATGAACAAGGTGAGACGATTGTACATCATATACCAACAGTGCTATCAGAATTGCGACAGTAAACCCTTTCCAATTAAGTGCAGAATCATTAAAATCTGTATTTGATGGATATTCGTCAATGTAACCCCAGGTAAGGGTGGCCAGAGCCGAGGACATGTCGAAATTCTATTGCTGTTTGCTGTAGCTGGTTTTGATAGGTTTACTGGTCGAAATAGGAGCGAGTGCTAAGGGCACTCCAAACCTGTGGAAGGCCTTATGGAGCGGCTGAAGGTCGACTCTTAACGGATACGACTTTAGTCTAGGCTAGGAATTCGAGTATCTTTGGATGTACCCCGAACGGAACTGAGCTTGCCTTCCGTCTCTTGTATATACGCACATAAATAGTAAAAAAAAACACATTCAAAATGTAAACCCCCACCCTATACTAGTCACTAGTTGTTTCGCCTTTAAGTTTCACTGTTTGTGTATGTAAGATAACGGATGACTTTATTTATCGTATAAAGATGTGTCAGAATAGGTTAACTTGAAAGCGATTAGGTGAATATTAAAATTTAAAAAAATATACCATTTTATTATTAACACCGTTCTTGCTTTTATTTAAAAAATGTTAATTTTAGACTATGTTTTTGAGAGTTAACACAAATATTGGTACTATCCCGTATGTCTTTAATCTACAGTCACCCTACTCGCTATAACAAAAACACTTTGTATATGTAAAATTTCCACCCTCGAGTTTGTGTATAGCTATTTATGCGGCGCTATATACAACATGGAGGGTGGAACTTTTTAGTGTATTTCCAGATGAAATTCAAATTGCTTAATATTGATTGTAATTGTAGTTTTAATATGTGTAGTACTTTTACTTTAATGTACCATATATGTTTTAATTAAAGATCTCGGTGGTTTAGCTGTTTAGTACACCCTTACTTCCGATGATCGCGGGTTTGATTTCTTGCACATATTGCAATAACATTGATATTCCTAACTATGACTGTTTATATTGGTTTGACTGTTGTATATATATATACTATGTATGTATTTACAAAACAAATGTATTTCTGGCATATTACACACATTTTCATTATATGTTTTGAAAATTTACTGTTTAACAATTTCCTAGTGATTTCTTCCTGAAACCTATTATTCAAGTTGCTTAAGTAAACAAAACAATTTTTTATGTTATAATGTTGTATGTTATAGAGGAGGAGGGCGAGTAAGAAATTTAGAAAGGTTAATATGGGGCATGGCTCTAAAAAGGAAGCTGTTCTACATTAATAAAGCGTAAAATTCTGTATAACGCATGATTTCATTTTGTCGATCAGAGAAAATTTATTATTATTTGGTTTGTATATGGTTTATTGTTAAATTTGCTCAGGGACTGGTCTAGCCACCGTCACCGCCACATCCATGGATCTCAAGCGTGAGCCTGACGATGACCGCCCCAAGAAGCGCGTGTCGATCCTCTCCCCGGAAGACGACAAGATGCGGATTAAGAAGAAGCCTATGACCGTACGCTTCCAAGATGATAATAAGACTGATGAGCGCCCCAACAAGATCACTTCGCCGGGTGAGTTTTTTAACTATTATTAATTTTGATAATAATATAACTTCAAGGCTATTATCCCTGGTGGGGTAGTTAGACGCATTGTTGATTGAGGACTTCGTGGTTTACTGTCTTACATTTCGCTGTGTATGTTTATGGATATAATAATTGTTACAGTTTTATAAATCGTTTTAGACGATTGTTTTGGCTTCGATTTTGTTTTTAAATATTTGCCAAAGTTTTTTAATTATACTTTTTGCAAATATAAAAAAAAACTTAATTTTGTGACGTTTTTGTTTAATATGGATAGAATATAAACTACGAGAAATGTATAGGTGTATTATATTTTAGCAGTACAGTTTATATCTTACGAAAAAGATTATAAACAATATAAACTAACGGAGTACATAATATTACGAAATATATGAGAGAATAGCTTCAGTCCGCTGCCCGCGGGCTCTGGCTGGAAAAAGCCACATTTTCTTTTCTATTCTGCAAATTGCACTATGGAAATCAAAAACACACAGTTATAGCGACTTCATCTTCTAGATATATCGCACGCTCAATATACATTTATTGCATTAATGCAAAAAAATTTAATAAAACTGGAACTAAACCGAAATTAAAATGTTAGCAGCGATTTCTCAAAAATTGAAATTTATGATTTAATGCAGTATTGCATAAGTATATCAGCTATTGATAGTTCTGACTGTTATATAAGTTTTATAGTACTGTTATACAACATTACCTATATTATAACTTTATATATAGATATTTTTGTAAAAAAATATCTATTAAATTCGACATCATTAAAAGTACATAGATATTGGTACCAAGGTAATGTACCACATGTTGTTTAATAAATGTAGCATTAATTTATTTGAATTAGAAGGATATCAGAATAAATAAATTTTAATGGTGATCTATGAACTCTTTTTTTGCTCATACCTATACCTATGTAAACATGTGTGTATTGAACATTTAAACGGAAAATATGTCAATATTATCTTGATATAAGCGTTTAGAAATTTAAAATAAGCATTTAAGTGGAACTTAAAGTATAATCATTTTAGTAAGCCTACGGAGTCATGAGACCTTAGTACTGTATGCTTTTTTTAATTGGACGCGATTATTATTTAACCGTAAAAAGAATAAAACCACGGGATGTTACCATGTTTTATTAGTTTTTATTGGAACTAAACTAATAAAACGTGGTATTTGTCGCTGGTTATCACGGGTAAGCTGTCAGTTTATCCATAATAATGGCGAAATATCGAGAAATCAAAAATAACGTGGTATGATCACGTGATTTTCGTAATGTTACTTGGTGCTGTAATTTCGCCTATAATACCTTTCAACTGAAACAAGCTATGTTTACACAGCAAGCAACGCACTTGCAATTACCCTGATGTTGTGGGTTTTCATTGGCGGTAACTCCTTACCATCAGGCGAGCTCCAAGCTCGTTTGTCCTCTATCCTATAAAGAAAGCAGCTTTAAGCTGCAGTAAGTAGCTGAAATTGAGGCGTCGTGCAGACATTGTACAAAGGTCTACCTGATAGACATATTCTGTGGATATACAGCAGTAAATATAATTTACTCTTAATTTCATCACAGTTTGCACGTTAAATATAACTGTTGCTTACCAACAAAATCACTAATTTTAAATATAATGGATTATACTTTTTATTCCGCAAATAATGTGCCTAATACTACGTTAGTAGAGCAGAATCACAGCTTCAAAGTGCGGCCATTACTTCGTCCCAGGAATGTCTGAATGGAACTGTTTAAACAAATAAAAAAAGACAATATATGTTTTGTCGAGACGGTAATTTCTATACAATAACAATTCAGTACGTATTTTAGCTCAGCGATATATATATTTGTGAATGCTGGCGTCATTAAGTTTTTAGAGTTTCCAGTATATTTTGATTATCGTGAAAATGTCACGGAATATTAAATCAAATATTATCTTAACTCTATTATACGTGTATCTATGAATTATATATTAATACTAACTTAATTTATTTATAAACGGATTGACTAAATATGAAACGGATTAGAATCTATACTGCCACAATAACATAATTTGTATTCGTGTGTAGGTGTACGTAGATCAATAGGGGGCAGGTGAAGCCAAGCCCAGAATATTTCAGACGCTCGCAGAATATTGTATACTAACTGCGACTGCGATTGTACGCGTATTAGGTACTTTTATACGCCTACTAGCTGTGCCCGCGGTTTCACCTGCGGTAAGTTTATAGCCTATATGTTATTCTGATGTATAAGCTATATTGCTGTAAAGTTTCATCAAAATCCGTTCAGTAGTTTTTGCGTGAAAGAGTAACAAACATCCACCCATACTCACAAACTTTCGTATTTCTAATATTAATTATAAGATAGTTTATAATTGTATCCGGGACCGCCCCGCTTTCTCACGGGTGCATTACATATCTTTAAATTTCTCAGCTTTTGTTTACTGTAGTATACATGTATTATACATATCAACCTTCCTCATGAATAACTATTTATTGTGATTATTAAACTGCATTAAAATCTGTTAGGTAGTTTAAAAGATCTAAGCGTATATGTAGTGGTGGATTCTTGTTGTATACTATCTTTGAAATTATTGGAATGAAACAAACAACAAATGTATCTTACATCCTTACTGTCCTTTTAGTTAAATTACTTCACTTTTCACACAGTCCGTTCAACTTTTCTTCAACCTTCTTTAAATCTTGGTCATCACTCCTCAAAAAATGATTTTACAAGTAAAAGTATTCTAAATTTATTTTTGATCTCTATAACATAAAAGCAGTTTCGATAAGCTTATCGTGATAGGTCAGATAGGGGAAAAAGACCAAGAAGCCTAGGGTCTAGAAATGCTAGTGAGCACTGCTATCCGCATCGCACAAAATTGCACAGAATGGAGAGATATATGGTAGAGATTTCTATTTCTAGATTTTGATCACTGATACTCTAAGACTGATTTACTCTTATTTAGTTACTCAACCAGATGGTTGTATATTCAAAATTTTGACTCTAATGGATTAGTGCAAGTTAGTAGTTTGTATTCACACATTTATTTAAAAGATACGTAAGTTTCTTACTCGTTCTTCCTGTTAGATAGATTTCCAAATGAGCGGTAGATAAAAATAAGATTGAGCGATAGATTACATAAAATAAGTGGTGACTATTCAAAAGTGCTTCAATGCAAGTTTATATGAATAAATAATTTTCTATTCTATTCTACAGTAGGGGTAAGAGCCACGAATCAGTCAAGAATCAGTGACCGACTGTAGAAAAAACGTGAACGTATTTTTTTTAATATAAAATATTTAATATATATTTACGGTCCGTTTGCGATGTTATTAAATGTGAGGTGATGTACGTTATAGGCTATGTACACACGAATTTGCTTATTAAAAATACCGTGTCTAGCACAGTTTTTATTGTACTAGTATTGTACTTGTAATAAAATGCCACTAATGGCCCAATTAATACCATTTATATAACACGCTATCAAATTCTCAACATCGACCATACAATTCTAGAAATGTAATGAAAATAATAAAAGCAATTTTAATGCAATTTCGCTCGTAAATATTCACGACTCGTTCATATTTTTATTAAAAGTACGTAAGTTATTTCGTATGTTATTACTTATTACATTATTTTTTTTTTAGTGTTGTCGACATAATTTACCAATTTATTATATTTTTATTAAAATTGTACAGTATAATTTATTGTAGAATATGATTAAAATTATAACTCTAAAATATCATATTAGTGGCAAGCCAGAAATATTACAGGCCATTTTTTTAGTGTGATTATAATATGTGCAGGTAAAAATCCTTTAGAGGTATTCTCAGAAACTCGTTTTTTTTTCTTTTATTTAGAATGTGTGTGTAAGATCGTGGTGGTCCGCTTTTTATTGTTGAATAATAAATAATTTTATATTGAAACAGTTTTTTTTCTGTTTTAAGTTGTAGGTACAAAATGTAATGAGTTATTTAGTTAGTTAGTCTATGACATTGTATTTATTTTTACACTAATTATTACTATCTATACCACTGTGTTAGATTTACTAAGAGACATCTTTTCTAAAGATAAGTCCACCTTTTCTCAATTTTTTCTTAATTATTTTATTACTGTATTTTGCAATTGCAATGTAGAAGATATGTATAGTGTATACTTAATATTGAGTATATTTTGGTCGGCCTCGGTGGTCTAGCGGTTTAGCACACCGTTTTACTTCCAATAGTCACGGGTTCGATTCCTCGCACGGTGCAAACATATGTATTTATTAGTATGATTGTTTGTATGAGTCTTAGTTATTATCTATGTATATTATGTATTTATTTACAAAAATGTCTAAGTATGTATATCAGTTATCTAGTACCCAGAACACGAGCTCTGCTTAGATTGGGACTAGACGACGCTGTGTGAAGTGTCTAGGGTTATTATTATTATATTACTAATAAATATTTATATAGGTACTAACTGTTCCGCCGAACGTTGTTTTGGTATATAAATTAATAACGCTATAAATAATAGAGGTTAGTGATAAAAGGTGAAAATTTAGAGTTGTATATATTTTTTAATGCCACATAAAAAATAAAAAGCAAATATATTGTTGATATTTTTTTTTGTGGTGAGCTTATTCTGAGGTAACCCTTATCACTTAGGGGTATAAAAAGTTATAAACCTATTCTCAGACCTACTGAATTTACATATAAAATTTCACCAAAATCGGTCAAGCCGTTTCGGAGTAGTATAAACACGAAACCTGTGACACGAGAATTTATATATTAGACTAGTTATTCACCCTGGCTTCGCACGGGTGTACATGTATTATATATATATACCTTCCTCCAGAATCAGTTCCTCCAGTCTACCTATTAAAGAAACCGCTTCATAATCCGTTACCTAGTTTTAAAGATTTAAGCATACATAGGGACAGACAGCGACAGCGACTTTATTTTACACTATGTAATGACAGAAAATCATTCGTCACTTGTCCGCC